GACTGTGTAAGATGTACCAGTTTAAGCTGTATCAGAATCCCACTATGTTAGCTTCAACAACATCAGGGCATTTCTGAAGTGAGCAATGATATTCCAAAGTGGTGTTGCAAGTAATGTCCCAGATAAGCATTGAAGTAGAGCACCAGTAAAAAGAAAACCTTCTTGAGAGGCAAAATAAAAATTCATCCACTCCTCACTGGGTATGCAAACTACTTGAAGGTTAATTTTTAGTACAATGATTCAAACCCAAAAATCTCTGAATATAACTTGACAACAATTTAACCATATTTATATCAATTGGTTGGATCATAAAGTAACTGAATACTGAATTCAGCTGAACTTTGGAAGGAACTTTGAACTTTTGAACTTTTTTGAACTTTTGAACTTTGGAAGGTGACCTGTCATAAATACATTTTAAGAACAAAATTTCTTGAATTCATGTCTGTCTCAATTTTCTAGAGGAAGCCTGTTGCCCCTTCTTCTGAAGCATCAGACTTTTTATTATGTCAGATACAGCAATGTGATCATGTCTTTTGTAACTGTTATTTTCTCATCCCAATTTTGACGCAAGCCCACCTTTCTCAGCTTTTCAAATGCTGTGGGATTCTACCAAAATTGAGTATGACTGCAGGCTGTCAATTTTTTCTTATGATATTACACTGCACGGAGTGGTGTGTCTCCAGCTAGACAGAATTACAGCTGTTCTGTCATCCCATACCTGCCTACCTGCCCATTCTCTCTTCCACAAAAGCTTTTATTTGTCCTCATGTTAATATTCCTGACACAGACAGAATCACCTGTGCTGATGATCAATGAGAACCCATCATCACCTTGTAGTTGTTGACTCTGGAGCTGAAGTGACCAATAGTGCCTTTTATAAAGCCAAGGAAGAAGCGTTTGGAAAACTCACAGCTTACATGAAGTTTTTGTTTGTTTGGATGGCTGTGCCATGGGAATAGAACAGAAAACCTCTCAACCCACCTGATTATTTAGACTCTTTTCACAGTACTGCATCCACTAAATGAAATCTAGGATTGAAGAAGTGGGAGGCTTAACAGAGATATTCTTTTGTACGTCTGCTCTTGTAATATAATCCAGAAATATTATGAAGTGTTAAATTGATTGTTGTCTGTATATTCAGTCTATAATATGATGAAGATATTATGTTACCCATCAAAACAATCTCTTTGCGGAACTGCACTGGGGAAGTCAAGTGAAGATTACAAGCAAAAACATTTCTGCCTATTTGTAGAAAAAAAGTACAGTGAAAGATTTGTCTGCTGGTAACTAATATAGCTAGTTACTAAATGTTGGAGATACACACAAAGAGTGGAATATGCAATGAACTTTCTCAGGTTGAAAAAGGTCTTGACTTCAAAATAGGCATTTTGCAATTTTAAAGTATTTCCAGTCATTATTGGATCTTCATGTTTCTAAAAGGCTTGTTTCACTTTTATTGGCTCAGAATGAATAATTGAAGGGCTTTTACCACTTTGATTTTTTTTTTCTTTCACCACTTTATTCCTTTTAGAAGTCAAACAGAGTAGCAAGAAATTGAAAGTGGGAAATGAAACATAAATGCAGTTAATTCTGTTACAACCAAGGGTATGAAAAAGTTATTGTAAAATATTGATCTTTCATTAAAAATAAATATTCTGCAGAGGAAAAGTATTCTTTTCGGATAACAGGGTGGGGAGAAAAAAAACTGGTTGAATGACCAGTTCACAAACCCACTTCATTTGTTCGGAAGTCACTGGTACAATAGATATTGTTTTCCAAGTGTTCAATTTCCACATATCCTGGGATTGATGATGGTTCTGCAGAAGGATTTCTTGGTTCAAGCGTGATACAAAAGAACTAATAGTAACCTCTAAGCAGAGGAATTTGGGAATGCTGGCCTTGATGGGTATTAAAGTAGATACGTCTTGTTTGGTTTAAATCCCTGGACTGTTTTTAATTTGTATTTGCTTGGAGTTTTCAGTGAGACTGGTATTTGCAAAAAGTAGAATGCTTCCTTGCCTTTGCAACAAAATGCCAGAGGAAACTTCTCTTGCTTCTGCTGCTATGCTTTCAGGGCTAGAAGGCAAAATAATTAGTTCCAAACAACTAGGAATAAATCGCCCAGGTTGAAACATGATAGTGCCTGACAACTGGTGATGTTGGAAAAAGAGTAAATTCAGTAAATTCTTATTGATGAAGATTTTGGAACTACTTACAAGGGCATTAGAGCAAAATTCTTCATTATTTATATGGGCAAAATGTAGACTCTGCTTTCTTCCTCAGATTATATAATTTTGGAGAACTGACAGTTGTTTGTTACAGTAGTGAAGATTTGGGAGAAAAATGGAATAAAAGCAGTTGATTAATTGTTGATTGTGTTTTCATAAGGAAATTTTGCATCTGTTTTTATAGGAATGTTTCAATTTTGACATATTGTGCCAGTTCCAGTTTTCTGTAGTTTAAGGATCATGTCCCTGTTTAGGGACTATCGCTTATCTGACATTGCAAAAGGCACAGTCACAGGTAGAGTGAGGTTTTTAGGTAGTGCCTAGATATTAGTATGACTTAGAACATTTTAATCTACCTGCTGTTCCCTGAATGGTATTAAAAACACCACTCATTACTCCAGCCTGAGAAGTATGCATGCAAACTGAACGAGTAGACAGATTCAGCTTCTACACATTACGTCGTGGGAGGGTTTTGTGTACAGGAAGGTGCAGTTGCAATGGGAAGATGCAGCGGTCGTATGTCGTACAGGTGTCATCTTACTCTGGTCACAGTAAACTGAAACATGAAAATTCATGCTGTGCTTGTGCAAACGCTTGTGCTGCCTTGGCAAGCGTCTTCATATATGCTGAGGCCAAATTATTTAACTGTCTCTTGTGTGTGGTTTGCTCAAAACAGAAAGTCACTCTGCACTATCCCCTCTTCAGCCAGTTGGAGCCTCTGCTGAGAGTGTTTTGCCTCCAGAAGTAAACATGAGTCTAAGAATAGCCCAGGTTTCTTTGTAGTATATTTTCATGGTTGGCTGTCTAAACACCCAGCCTGTCTAGACACCTGAGGACACTGAAAGCTTGTAAGGTCAAAAGCAGCCACGTAGGCTACCCGTGGAGATGTTACCTCCTTGGTAGCTGTATACGTGGGCGCCAGGAGAACTTTTCAGTCAGAACTAGTAGAGTTCTTTTTGAAGCTCCATGGGCTACAAGCGTATGCTAGTAAGGCATTAAATAATAGATGTGAATGTATAAAGAAGGAATTTTCAATTTCTGCAGTTATTTCTGAATCACATGATACATCACCAGTTAAGAGTATTGGTGCCTTTTAAAATTTGGTTTTTAGTATTATTTGTGTTGTGCCCCAATTTAATTTTTAAGCGTAACTTGGCGGTCTTTTTTTTTTTTTTGGAGGTGCTTTTTTTCTAATGCAAATGAGTTACAAAGATAAAGTAAACCCAATTTCAGTTCATTCCTTAAACAACAACAAGACTTAGATAGTTCCTCAGTAATATATAGATTGTGTACAAAGCTGGATTCTAAGTTTCATATGTGCTTGCATTAAGAGAAATAAAGCCTGGTATGAAGAATCTTATACCAAAAGACTCCTTCTGTGACCATGGGTTACAGAGGAACATTAGGAAGGGTTTCCCTAAATTGGGTTTTTCTTCCTCCTAGCTTCCACTTGTAACACATCTAGCATTATTTGTGACTAGATGTTCAGCCTCCTGCAAAGTCTTGTACGTTTACATTACAGATCCAGACCGTTTTCTAAAATTATGTTCCAGATGTGATTTTAATAGAGATAGCAAAATCGTAATGGACACGTCTAAATAGCCATTTTCACTCTAATCACAGCATGTCAGTTTTTCCTGAGGCTGGTAAAACCCGGGGTTAGAAGGAGTATTTATACTAACTGAGGAGCTGCTAACTGCTGTTTGACAGATGAAACAAAAAGGCTAATACTTCCATTTGGTTTACTAAATACTGGACCAGATAGCCTTTGAGTTTGTCTGGTTACATTATTTCTTACAAATGTTTTTGGAAGAGTATCTTGCTACAAGTGTTTTGGAGATAAGATACTGTACATGCCACATGTTATTCACCAGTTCATGATGGACATTTACTGATGCAAGAAGAACTTGCCAGCAACAACGAAAAGCAACTGAGAAATGTGTACCCATCCTTTGCTGATAAATTTGTTTTTGACAGGGTATCATAATGCTGGTGTGTCTGTTTCTTGTGATGTGTGTGTATGCATAAAGTGGGTTTAGCATTAGATTGTCTCAGTCTGTCAAAATATGCATTCAGAACCCATAAACTGATCAAATTGTACACTGGCAGGAAACAAGGCTGATGTATTTCCTACCTAGTGAATGGTGCTTTGTGTTAGTCCATCATATAGCAAACCACCATGTAAGACAAAAAAGCAACATGCCAGTACAGTGAAGAAAATGATACTACCAATAAAAATAATACTTGTTCACAACTTCTTAATTATCAAGTACCTTTCTTGATTTACATACGTAGTAATGTTTTTCTTAGCTTTTTTCCTTTCTTGTTGTTGTCTCCTTCTCTGGAGACTTTCAAAACCCGCCTGAATGCATTCCTGTGTGGCTGCCCTAGGGGATCCTGCTCTGGCAACGGGGTTGGACTAGATGATCTCTAGAGGTCCCTTCCAAACCCTGACATTCTGTGATTCTATACATTGATCATCCTCTAGTCACACAGTGCCCAGCATCCGTGGAGATTAGGAGTAATACCCTTTCTTTATGTTGTACTTGTAAATATTGTTTAGACTTTCTTGCTCTGAATTCTTTCCTGATCATTGGAAAGGTTCCTGATTCAGTGCTGGTATTTGGTGGGTTCGGTTGCATTGCTTGATGGTTTGATGGCAGGAGTGTAAGAACTTGTCTACTTCCTTTGCTTTAAGAAATACGCACTCCTAAGATGATTTGGGGTGGTTTTGCTTGCTGTTGTCCTTAAAATTTACTCTTCCTCTTTAAGATTGAAAATCTCCAAGAACAGTTAAGAGACAAGGAGAAGCAGATGAGCAGCTTGAAGGACCGGGTGAAATCCTTGCAGGCTGACACCACGAACACAGACACTGCCTTGACCACGCTGGAAGAAGCGCTGGCAGAAAAGGTGAGTACGGGAAACCTTATGTCTCTTCCTTCAAAAGGTGCTCCTGCTGGCAACCTCCCGAAAGCCGCCTTTTCCCTGTGTTTCTTGGGCTCGGTGTGCAAGAAAGCGCTCCCTGAGGCGGT